CGGACATCAACCCAGCAGACATTGTTTCTCGAGGTACGTGCAACTTTGCGCTGGTACGTAGATGGTTGGACGGTCCGGAATTTTTAGTTCAACCTGAAGGCGAATGGTTTGTACAACCTCCCGTAGGACAACCTGAAGACTTGGAATTCAAGAGGACAACAGCCCAAGTTCATGTATTAAATCAATGTGATGGTTTAGACGAACTAGTTATGCGTTTTTCAAGTTGGAAAAGGCTACAAAGGGCTGTGGTCTGGCTCCTGCGTTTCAAGCAGTACGTCAGAGTCACCACTGACAAGGCACCTAAGGAGACGCTGATGTTGGGTCCTATCCGAGTATCGGAAATGCGCCAAGCTAGCATTAACTTGATAAAGCTTATACAAAGGAAACACTTTTCAGCAGAATTGGATATTCTGCAGTCTACACCAGCAGATTGCCAGAAAAGAAAGTCTGTGAGAAATATTGGCCTGAGAAAGTTATGTCCGATTTTGATTGAAGGAGTAATGTGCGTTGGTGGTCGCCTGAACTACTCAAATTTTTGTGAATCGTTAAAACACCCGTCAATCCTCCCATACAATCATCCCGTGACGGAATTAATCATACATTACTTTCATGAATTGGAAGGCCATTGTGGGACAGCCCAAGTTCTAGGTGCAATCCGTCAAAAGTTCTGGATTCTAAAAGGAACCGCTTCTGTCAAACGTGTCATTGGTAGATGTTTACTTTGCAGACGTAAATTTCGACAACTTCAGGGGCAGATGATGTCCCCGCTTCCCTTAAATAGAACAGAAGTCGGTTGGGATCCTTTCAAGTGCGTTGGGGTGGACTATTTTGGTCCGTTGATGGTCAAACGCGGACGATCTTCGGAGAAACGCTATGGTTGTGTGTTTAGCTGCTTACAGACGAGAGCCGTTCATCTTGAGATGGCCACCAGCCTGACCACGAATTCTTTTGTTCAGTGTCTGATGAGATTCGTGAGTAGACGCGGACGTCCCACTGACATCTACAGTGACAACGGAACCAATTTTGTTGGAGCGGTAGCAGAACTCCGAAAGGACTTACACAATTGGGACCAAAAGAGAGTGTCGGACCAACTGCTAACTCTAGAGATACAGTGGCATTTTAACCCACCCGCTGCCAGCCATCGGGGAGGCATCTGGGAACGAATGACCAGGTCTCTACGACGGATTCTTCTTGCTCTCTGTAAGGAGCAGTCCCTAACTGACGAACAGCTCGGCACCCTCTTCGTGCAGGCTGAACGTATATTGAATAATAGACCGCTTGTCTCGCTAACATCAGACAGCAACGACTTGGAATCGCTTACCCCGAATAGGTTATTGTTGATGAGGAACTGTCCAGTGCTGCCTAGCGGTGACGAATTGGTGGCACGGTACCACGCTGGATGGAAACAAGTGCACTACCTCGCTGGCGTGTTCCGGAGACGATGGGTAAAAGAATATCTTCCAAGTCTGCAGAAAAGAACAAAATGGACAAGAGAAGCCGCGGAACTGAAACCAGGTGATGTTGTTTTAGTTTCTGGGGAGCGCACAGCTCGTGGATGTTGGCCTTTGGGAGTAATAGATAGGTGTGAAAGGAGTCGCGACGGCCTCGTTAGGACGGTATATATTAGGACGGCGGGCGGTCTCTTAAAAAGGGACGTTAGAAAGATTTGTCTACTTGAGGGGCAGAGCAGCCGTATACCTCCAAACACGTAGAACATTTACAAGAGCCGGACGTGGAGAATTGGCGGGCGTTGTTGTATCCAGCCGGTCAACGCTTGGAATTCGCCACGTCCTCCTCTCAAGTGCTTCCACATTTGGCCCCTGTTGACATTCCCCTTCCCCTTTTGTAACCTTTTTTGAGCGCGATCGGCGTTCTTTTAATTAACTAATTTTGTATTCTGACCTTGAGCTGGGAATTCGATCTGCTCGAACATTAACAAAGGAATTCTTTGTCCAGGGTATCCATTGTTGAGGTTTGTACGTTTTTCATTATTACTTTATTCTATCAATAGTACCGTATAAACACCGAAAGCTGTTTTGGCTTATACGCGTCACTTTATTAGCAAAGAATTCCACAGTAACCTATTTTCAAGTCTGTTGCAATCGGCCTCCAGACAAACCCCGTTCTGTGATCTACCTATGGTCTCGCGCAGCACTCATTTTGGTTGCTTCAACGTCATGTCATCTTTCAAAATGGGGAAAATCTTTTCGCCCGAAGAGATGAATGTGGAGTCCGAATGTCATCAAAGTTCAATGTCGAACCGTTTTAGGATTCTAATCCTGATTATTAGGCAGATTATTAGTGTAATCTTATTGAATGAATGGATCTGCAATGAATATTTTTTTTGTCTACCATAACATACCTAGGCTGAAATAAAATTTGGAGTGCAGTTTTTTGGCCTTAATATCGGTAAACCCACATTAAGACATAACGTTAAGTTCATGGCCTATCACACCGTCTTATATGCGTGCCACGTCCTGAGAATTTAAACCTTATTTAAGACAAGCTAAATAATCAGATAGAAAATGACTCCTTCTGATATTTACTTAAAATTCCTCGCAACAACAGGATGGTTGAAGTCTGGGACCATGCGGTTAATTTGTTTGTCAGGTAGCAGCAATATTTTTCGGTTCTCTTTAACTCTGTTTTGCTTTTGTTGCGTTTGGCCCCCAGCTGTATTTTCAGTGGGTGTAACGCATTCACAAATTTATTCGCATAAAGATCTCGAATTCGCTATTGTAGAACAATTATCATCTTGGCCTTTCAACTAATGGGTTGCCTCCGTAATATTCCCTGGATGCATTACACTTAAATCTTGATATTCTATCCAGTTAGTTCTAAACTACCTGACTGAATATAGAAGAGCACTCCACAAACAGTTCAGAATCCACCCTGCGGCTTTTTCCGCTAGGTCCAGAATCAACAAATTCAAACGCTGCATGGTCGAGCTACCGTCTTCAGATTAAAAGATAAATGGAAAATATTATTTAAAGGGATTTTTTAAGAAATACAAAAACTTTTAGCTTTTATGTTGAAGAAAGTGCTTTAAATGCGGGCCTGCTCTTTTGAATTACTGGTTGCCATTTCCCGTTTGAGTTTTGCTACACTAATCCTGTCGATCACTAGTCGCACTTTGCCATTCGAACTTTGTACATCCCAACTGTTTATTACCGTGTACATTTTCTTTACACCACTAACCCCTCGCTGAAATTCTGCCGTAAGATCGGTCAGAAGTTTAAATACTTGCAACTTACATCAAAATTAGATAGGAGTAAACGTCTCAGGTCGGCGAAGGCTTTCGTCCACCTGAACCTAGGCATGGCTAATTAAGTGTTAGTCACTAAGCATTAATAGTCATTGGTCACCCGTTATTATTGATAGGCAGCTTGATCTGTCTGCACTTAACAGTTACAACGATTTTAGGCTGAAGTTCGGCACTATGTTCTCAATTCTGGAAAAATTGTTTATAGGGAGCATCTCGAATTTTCTCTGCCCGGAATGCAAAAGCCTCGACTCACTAGTTCACCTGGTTGCCAGTGAATAAAGTGGTAGATAAAAAAGAGCTTATACTTTCTTTTTGAAAAATTTTCCTCGATATCCGCGGCCATTTGATGTTGCGGATGATTTCTCGTGCGGATGGCAAATGCCTGTCTTGCGGTAGCAAAAATCCGCCAGTTTTTTAAAGTTATTATTACGAATTTGGGTTGATTCAATCCTTTCCTTCCCAGATTGCGTTTCTGCGTGCCTGGAAAGCGCGAAGTTTTCCTTCATCATGATCTTAACCTCACAGAGCGTAGAATTAGTTTCCTATTCTCACATAATTCATCGTCCGCTCAGTCAGATGCTCATGAATTCGGTCATATCGCAGGTAACCACTAGAATTCGGGTAATCGTACTCCTGCAAAATTCGCTTAAGCACTCCGTCTTATTACTTCGCCTACCTGCTACTCAAGCCACTTAACGCCTTCGCCTGGCTCCAAATCATAGGCAGCCCCAGTTTATGTTCCTAATTCGCCTGATAGCTCTCATTGAACGCACGAAAATTCGTCTAAGTTACCTGGACCAATAGGTTCTTCACTTCAACAGGGTCCACCGGGTTCTCCACTAGAGTCGCCTTGGCATGCCATCAGAACGATATGGTCCAAAAGCTAAATTCATATTTAACCCAGCAGAAAGATTTTATGACTCCATTCAGTGGTATGCCGCATTCTCTTGGATGTACTGGGCCTTTACGGCTAAACTCATAAATAAACCGCGTAGTTCCAATCATACCACCGAATGATTCTTCTCGCATATCGGCTACTTACCAAAGCCATACTAGCTATCCCGTAAATAGTTCGTACGTGAATCACTCCCAGTCATTAATATACCAATCTTGTTCCGGGTTCCTGCCACTTAAGGCGAACTGCACTCAGATAAGTCAGCCTAACCCCTTCGCCTTCTATCCTAAACCGAGTTTTTCACTTTTTAATTCTTATAGCTGCCTACCCTCCCCCATTAGCCTTGTGGGCAAACATAATGGCAAGGTCGCGTCTCTCGTTAAGGCTTGCACATACGCCATAGCGACAACGTGCTTAGGCGCGCACGTCTGCCTGGATTCGACTTGTCTCGTTGCGGTTCACTATCTGTATCACGCATCTGGTCGATTCTCTGCCTTCACCATGCGAGGTTTGTCATTACCCTCGCGTGGGCTTGGAATCAGTCAACTCAACTCTTCTTGCTGATTAGTTACACGGGCGGACACAGTCTAGGCCACTGCGTAAACAACCTGCCATGATACTTTTGCAGCGGCGACCTTCGGCAACTCACGGCTCGTCGCTCTTGCGGCGCCGGAAGCATCCTCGTCTGGTTGTCAACTTCCCTTTACTATTCTGTACAGAATAAATAAATAATCTTCTCCAACTGGCATCCCACTTCTTAAAACTTGAAATATCGCCTGAACTTGTGGCGCACTGAAAATACAGCATCACCGCTAAGCCGCTACAGCCTCTACCTTCCTTTTAGGTTCCCCCCTCCTCCTCCTCCTCCGCCTCCTCCTCCTCCTCCTCCTCCTCCTTCTTCTTCTTCTTCTTCTTCTTCTTCTTCTTCTCCTTCTTCTTCTTCTTCTTCTTCTTCTTCTTCTTCTTCTTCTTCTTCTTCTCCCTCTCCTTCCGAAGTTAACTATCAACATACCTTTTTCTTTTCTAACTCGCTTAGTAGTCTATTGTCGCACCGAAGGGTGCAGTCCAAGCCACGCACGATACGGAAAGTTTGTATCAAGTCTCCGCACAGTTGTCGATAACTCAGAGGATAGAGATTAAGGTTAGTTAGGCCGATCTCATATAGCAGTGCACTTTGACCTCTTATTAATTTTGTTGCTAGTCTCTGCACCCTTTCGAGCAGATTGTAGTCCTGCTGCATCCACGGTCTCCAGGCCTGAATCGCATATTCAAAATGCGGCCTTACAAACGTGTCGAAGACTTTGGAGAAGGAGTCTTCAGCGAAAACTGCAAATGCCGTTGATGGCACATAGCATTGAAGTTGCGGCCTTGGCTGCCTTCCAATATTGTGTAGAAGGCTGTAGGCTGTCTGCAACTAAGACTCCGAGATCTTTCTGCGTTTCTGCTTCTCGAAGTGACATTCCGTTCAGATGATATTGCCGCATACTAGGGGTCTGATTTCCTAGGCGCATTATAGTACATTTGTTCAAATTGAAGGACAAGAGCCATCTGCGGGACCACTCGTCCAATCGACAAAGATTTTCTTAAAAGTTGGTTTCATCGCCTAAGTTATCGGTATTCAAATCGGATTTACGCAAGCACCTTACACCGGAAAGCATAAAGGCGCTATTGACGATTTCATTCTGGAGCACTCGACTTCTTGACTTTGAGAAGGGCCCTCAGCTGATTTAATGGTGGATAGTTAATGCCTTCCTTCTTCAGGTGGAACTCTCACTTATACTTTTACAAGCCCCTGTATTTAATTGGCTGCTAAATCTACTGTTATTACTCTCCCCTTACAGCCGTGATTTTCGCGGTTTTTGATGTCATCTCCTGATTTGGATCCCAAACGGTCGGGTATTGATCACGCGCGGAATCCTCTGTTTTCATCATTTGTTAGTGGTTTGCTCGGTCGGCAAGGAAGTGTAATGGTTGCATCTCCCCGCTTTCATCTTAACTGTCCTCTCCTCGGCTGGACTCTAGGCGGACTGCGACCGATCGTATCTGGCATCATCTCATCTTGCTACTTTAATGCTGACAGCCTCATTCTGTTCAGGAATGCTGTCTTGATATCTGTTTCGAGTCCTCTATACATTATCATATGCAGACCAGTCCTGTCCAAACCCCGTATTTACCCTTCCATGAGCGACGATTTTTTTCTCCCTGAAAGCTAATCAAATCACATATATTTTGCTTTTACCAAAGGAAGGAGTTTTTTTCGCCGCTCGATTACCGTTTTTCAATATCTGACTACCTATTCTATAAGCATGAACTAAATGCTGTGCACAGTCGGTCTACTTGTTCAAAAATTCACGTGAAAGTTTATGCTTACTTGCTATGAAAGTAACCCCATGGGCACACATTAACACATTTTATATATTTATTGGTATTTGTTTATGAAAATGAGGTCGTACGTCTGCCGACCCGAGTGAGTGACTTCAGCAATAACAAAAACCCTCGAGAATAAATAAACGCCATGCAGGATATATGCCAAATTTAAACAGCCATATCATTTCTCTGAATATAGATAACAGTGAAATATACGCCGGAATCTCCGGAGTATAGAATGAACGGCATATTTGTTAGAAATACATAAATGGACACCAAGAAAGCCTGAAAGATCATAGCACATGTTATTAGGGCAAAATGAAATTGAGACTTTATTCCTTGTCTAAGGGATAGTTGGGGATATGTGTTAACTGATAACTCCGATAAGATTAATATCGTATCTGATTTCTTCATGTCCGTGTATGTCAAGGAGCCGCCCTTTGCCAATAAATTGTACCGCTAAATTGTCATGTTTAGGAATACAATTAGTACGTTGACGTTCACAACAAACATAGTGAGGAAAACTCTGGGGCTGTTACAGTCCACTAACTTACTCATTTCAGATGGCATATCCGCGAAAGTTATGAATAAACTCGCAAACCAGCTGGTTTCCCGCACTTCAAGATCTTCGAGTATTCGATGGAGGCTGAGAGTCAGCCTACTGGCTGGAAGCTGGCCGACGTAAGCCCCATGTATTAAGAGGAGAGAGAAATTAAACAGACAGTTACAGAACAATGATTATCACGAGCATTTGTTGCAAAATAATGGAGAAAATAATAAACAAACGGGACAGTATTGAGCAGAACAACTTGCCCAGTATTCATCAACATGAATTTAGAAGCGGCCGTTCCGGTCTCAACAACCTCATCAAATCCAAGGAAAACTGAAGAAGATTTTAAGAAATGGCTTAGTTAGTAGAAACAGCCTAAACTGACTTTAGCAAAGCCACACAAACAGCTAATGTTTAAACAGCGCCAAATGGGTGCGACTGGCAACATACTCAAATGGTCGACTGACATTCCCATAAGCAAACGCCAGCGTGTTTGTATTTGATGTGTGAAATCAAAGTGGGAAACAATTCACGGTGGGTTTCTGCAGGTGGACGTTCCGGGTTAAGTCGTACTTTTAATAAATGGGAACGACGGCTTCGATTGCCTGATCCGTGAGAAAGTAATGTTCACCATTGACCTGAAAATATGAAATTCAATAGAAATGCCAGAGAAAGCGTTCTACTTGCCAAGTAGCTTGGATTGATTGCAGCAGTGATACGACTAGTGGCTCAGGTTCAACAAATGCCCAGTCATTCGACTATGGTTTTGTTACAGAAAGATGATGGGATGTGATCATACGTATTTCATCGTAGGTCAACAAATCGAGTTAGTAAACGAGAAGAGGGACCTATATGTGCTGAGGACGTCCACACTTAAACCTTTATCGCGCTGCCCCAAACTAGCAAATAACGTTATGTGTATTCTAGGAGCGATCAGACGGTCCTTCCTCAAGGCTGACGAAAAGCCTTTTGGTCGAGTGTTTAGAATATATTTCCCGCCGGCGTTATAACATTGCGTTCAGGCGTGAGGCCCCTGAATGAAGCAGGATCACATTCCTTCGGAGGACACTCAGTAGACGGTGGCCAAACAAGTCAGCGGACTAAACTGCCTATTATATGAGGGGCGAAATGAACAGCTTATAATATTGCATTAAGTTCATGAGCAATGCATAGAGGACATTATCATTGTTTCCAGCTGCTCAGAGCAGAAGATCATGCACTTCAGTTGGTCGATTGTTGGACTTATAAACAGCAATTTGTCAGGGCCGCCAATATAGATTGAAGACAAATTACGTCAAATTTGAAGCAAGGCCAACTGCGTCTCCCCCCGGGTGACTTAATAATGGAACAAATTTTCTCATTCGTTCGTTTTGGCTGAATACATTCGAGCATTTAACTGAAGACCTGGTGGCTATCTGTTTGCTTGGTCACATAACGGTGTAAACAGTTTCACGTTTGAAGCTCCGTCTGCAAACAGGGTTATAAAAGACTCCGCCTATCCCTCTTACAAATACCGAATTGTATGTTGCTGGCGTTTAGGACATCCATGTGACAGCGACTGCTTTTGCGGTTGGTCAGAAGATTTTAAGTCCTTTAAAGTTTCATTCAGCCGCCTCACAGTCCGTGTCGTCTGTTGAAATATTTCATTTTCATCACTGTAGTGGGCATAGTTGCGCACTTGATAGGACAGTATAAGGCAACACGGCTAAGAACTTCAATAAACGTTAAGAGCCCCATGGGTCTATTTCGGCGCATATGGACAGAGAGATGCTCACACGGCTAGAGTTAATAGCAGCGTAGATTTTTAACATATTGACCATTTGACTGGAATCCATCTTACTTTAGCTTACCTGAATTTACGTAGCAAATTTCAATGTCAAAATGAATGCATTCTTATAACCAATCACTGCTGAAATTCCTTCGATCCATTTAATTTTCGGAGTCATCTTATATTATAAACACTTCGCAATTATGGGGACGAAATCGAAAATCAGGGCCACTTTTCAGGCCGTTATAACTAGGAAATCCAAGAATGTTAGGTCGGATTGGAATTTGTGCGCAAACATGCACGACTGAGAATCCTTGACAGCAGAAAAACCCTGCGTTTCCGACTTCGCATTAATGGAACTGACAGCGAACGATAACTATCCAACTACTTAAACTACAGTAATTGTCGTTTGACTGAAAAAATGTAAAGCCCGCGCCTGTTTGTGCAGTTTTCCTGAGTTCTTAAGAACTGCCGGTTATGGACTTAAAAGACACGTCGTCCCAGGAAATGGAAGCGCAAAACAGAGTCGGGTTTAATGACCACTTCTAGCCTAAATTCATCGTTTCGCAGCTGAAAGGTGACAAATACGGTGGTTTCAGCCCTGTTCCTTACCAAGCGCGTTTCTGAAAACGTTTATGAAACGTGTTTTGCCAAGGCATACTGAACATTTGAGCAGCCACAGCTTGAGCACGCTGTCATGGTTGGAATGGCAGCACTGATCTCAAAAAGCTCGAACGACGTGCCGTTGAGCTTGTTCGAGTACTGGGCTCTCTGGCATACGGAGGACAACTTTAACATCTGGGCCTTCTCCTTCTAAGTTATTGGCAAATACAAAGAGACCTTACACCGACGTTCCGCATCGTTCAAGTCTCGGACAGTTGTCTTGCTCGTCAGCACTTCCTTGAGATATCCACCACAACGAACCTTGTAAGATGTGCGTGGGAAGGACGCGGCATAATGTGCAGATGTTCTTCCCGTGGACGGTCATACAGGCGTTGATCGTTCGGCCGGAGGACGATGTAGTGTTAGCGAGGGCCGAAACATTCATGAAGAACCTTGGCCACCACACGATTACACCGACCATCACTGTTTCATATCTTTTGCGTGTGTGGTCTTAATGAACTTATCATATTACTAAAAACTTACCACTAACAACTACAAGCATGACGGAAACGTGGGTGTTCCAACGAACTTTCGTATACACCATCATGCTCATGTTCATTCCCTCTCTATTTCTAACACTTATTTTGAATCTGAGCAAATGAGGAGCCCACAGGCTAACGCTTTCATCTCGCTTCTAAAAAGTGAACTGGAAAACTGAAATGGACCATACTGGTCGACTAGAGGCGCAAGGTTTTTAAATGTACCTGTATCGATAACTAAACAGGCGTTTACTATCGGTGAATTGGTTTTTACTGATGGCAGACTTGCGCAGAATCTATTCCACTCTCTCCTCCTTGCCCACCCAGACCCAGTTTCGTGACGAAGTTAGGAAAACCTGAAGCGGGATAGAAAGCAGGTGGCTTACATGACGTAAACTCGCATCTAGGTGTACCACAACACCTCCTGTTCCTCAACAGACACTGAAGAGGAATTTATGCCATAACATAACATAGGCGACAGCACGGACCCTAACAGGCGCGGGGTGAAGCGGCAAATGCGCCTGCCACCACACCCCAATGTTGTATTTGCGATGGGTGCGTCTTCCTAATAACGCCTGCCAGACTCCGATCTAGCCCCCTGGTGGGTCCAGTACCTCCACCGCGTGGCCCGTATGAGGGGACAGATGCGGTGTTTATTTCTGAGGGCAAAAAATATTTGTTATTTTGAATCAAAAAATCTCGGCGAGTAATTGAGAGACGGCAGGCATGCTTCTTTGGACAATGTGGGGTCTATATTTAACGGCAAGTCAAAAGTGAGTAGGACGCAAACGCAATAGTCTATGATCTTTGTTCTTCTAAGGTCGATTCAGCTGATTGGCCGAGCATAAATTTCCAAATTGCTGCCTTTTTCTGTCAGTTAGAAGAAAGCAAAAGCTTGAGAAAAGATTTGCGACGGTAAATTGTTTGAAATTACTATATTTTGCGTAAAGCAGCCGTACGAGAGAGTAAAGGTGTATTTTCATCCCAGCATTAGTAAATATGGGTTGATGTTAATTTTTTCTGACAATAGTGTGATCATACAGTCGCCTCGTGACAAGACCCTAGCCGCAAATTACACCCCTTTTCCCGATAGCCAAAATAAGAAAAAATCTACGTGATCCGTTATGTCAAAGGTCCAAAGTTTTGCGCAAGTATCCTGGTGAAAAATAAAAGTTTCATAAATGTTTTGGTAGATTTTTGAAGGATTCATATTGACTCAACTGTACTAAAGCCTTCCGCTTACTGCATGGGTTCAAATCCCACCGTCAAGATGAAATAAAAGTTTGCCAATGCATGCACGATCTAGTCAATCAAAAACTCTACAGCCAGCATTAGCTATTAATGAGAATGCAGGTCTTTGCTGAGATGTCCCTAATATAGACGCTCAGGTAAAATACGCACTGTTACGATAATACCCCTTGTCCTGTAAGCGTATTTTTTATAAGAAATGTCAAATAAGGACGGACTAATGAGCAATAGAGAATCGGTATATCAGAAATATACGTTACGCTGGATGCAAACAACCGATATGTAGATAACATGAACAAATAAAGCCCGAAATACTCTGCGAGGAAACCGATCAGTGTTTAAGCACTAACAGTGAACTGCCACAAGCCATAAATTTCCTCAGAGAAACGGATTCAACACAAATGAGATAAAATATTCGTTAGACTGCAAGGCCATTCGGATACCTGTATTGGCATTTAAAGAAAATCAGTTAGATTGGGGGTACCTGCGCCCTTACAAGCCATTAAGGAATTGGGTGGCCTGTTCATAAAATGCTTGAAAAGTCTTTCAACACCATCTGCAAACCAAACACATAACGATTAGCCTAAAAACCCGCTCTAGAGGCAAAATCTCATGCCGTTGAGAATAAAACGTCTTCTGGATAGCTTGTGGAAGCGTAAATTAAGCATTGTCCACATATTGCATTTGCCTGCATGTATCAGCACGCCTCAAAGTCAGTGCGCAATTCACAATTTTAGAGCCTTTAACTACTTACTATGAAAGATTCAATGGCTTGACACTACATTGTTTAGTTAATGAAGACTCAGACCAATATCTTAACTGAAAATTGGCAGAGCAAAATAAAGTGTAGTTAACCAGAGAT